AAAGCAATGGCGACCTATATAGAAATGATTAAAAATTACTTAAATTGAATATAATTCGACATTATAAATTTAATATTGTAGAGACGCACGTAAACTAATATTGGACGTCAACTCCGCTGTGTTTCAGCTTTTTAATCATCTCTCTCGCAGAGGCATTTACCTACCTTTCTCGCGTTTATAAGAATTTTGTCGCGCGACATTCGCTCGATCGACGCCGTTCAAAGTGACAGCGTAATAATTTCCCGACACGGCGGCGAAGGGTTAATCTCACCTGCATCTCGGATCCAAACAAATTGCTCCGACCTCCCGCACCGTCCCTCTCCCCCCGACCCTTCGCTTTTCCCGCATTTTCAGAGATTCTTGGCGCGCACCTGCGCACGACACTTTGTCCCACGTCGTTATTCACCGCGGTCGTCACCCCGCGACCAGCGAACGTTGCGACGCCTCTCTCGCTGAAATCTCCCGTTAAATTACTGCGAACGGACGTAAATGCGGGAATGGCTTCGTCGCCGGCTCGGCTACTTTACAATTTCAATTAACGGCTCGACGATATACTCTTTCATACTCGCGTTGCCGCGATGTTTTCTTGAAGGGTAACCACTACTAAGGTGTCGCGTAGCGTCTCCTCGCTCGCTCGCGGTCTCGAATGTATCGGCAAAATTTACGCGACGATATAACGTGACCACTGCGGCACGTCCGCCGATCGCGAAATTACTTTACACGTCCGATAGTAAAACGAGCCTGTGAATACTATCGCGCCAATAACGTGTCAGCTAGCGCAAAATAACCGTGTTGGATCAGGCGCCAAATTAATTCCCCGCATTCGCTATATGGGCGCGCAATTGGTTTTTCGGGAATTGCGCGAATGGGCAATTGTTGGGGTTACCGCTGGAGATACTTTGAGAGCCCGTAATCCTCAAATGGCTATCAACATCTGGCTTTTATTGTGCTTCAATTGCGTTATTGTTGATTTCAAAGCGAGAAACATCTATATTGTTGCTCGATGTATTTTTTGTAATAAGTATCGATACTATAGAAGAATATTATGTGTACTTATACCAATACGGAAAGAACGATTTTGCTGAAGTATCTAAAAAATAACTGAAATAATGATATAAGGCCTTAATGAATATAAAATTCAAATTATATTAAGATAATAGGTTACTCGAGCCAGCGATAGAAATCAATTTTTAGATACTTCAGCCAAATTGCTTTTTTCGTAAAATAATATGTAGACAGTTGCGTATAACGCTCTATAGATCAATAAGCATCAATATTATAAAAATATTGTTTCGAACTGAGAGATTTATAAAAAATACAAACATAAATAATCCGACCATATAAATTTTGATTTTTTTTACACGCATACTTGCAGATACAAAAAAATCAAAATTTTTATACGGTCGCAATATTTATTTTCACGAAAGTTTTTATTTCTTTTTATATTTAAGTATGTATATATACATATAAAAAGGAATCAAAATTGTTATACAATTAAATTATTTGTGTTTGTATTTTTGATAAATTAAATCCGAATAATATTTTTTAAGTATGCTTATTACAAAAAATTCATCGAGCAGCAACATGTAGAGATGTTTAATGTTTTGGAATTAACAATAATCTTTTATAATATTAATGCTTATTGCTCTATACTTAGAATTATGCGCAGCATCTGCGTATTATTTGATATACACGTTCGGGTTTAGATATAATACTTTTTGTATGTCAGTATTTCTATCACATTAATCAATCTTAATTGTATGACGACAGGATATGAGATAACAGGACAAGCATTGGCGCGTCGGTCTCCTTTTAAAGTATCAACGTCAAAGGCATCTTTTGAAAGAAAACTGGTTTCAGTCAGGCCGATTAAACGGTGATTTACGCCTGATCATTTTGTTATCGCGTTAACTAGCGGGGCATACCGTGGCCGGCGCAAGAACAGTGTATATAGATGCGGGAAGCACTTTCTACTGAGTATGCAGATGAAGCAACGAAATGAAAAAATTCGAATATCAATGTGCGCTAATGCATTAGCGCTCTGTACCCGATATTCAGTTATGTTAGTCCTTTTATCCTTTTTCTGTGATGATTATCATAATAATCTCCGTCAATCGAATCTCAAACAGCTGTGGGTCTTTCTTCGCGGCACAAGCTGGTAGAAGCTCGCGAAGCTCTTAAACGCCAGAACACTAAGAGTTTTTCTTAAAAAGAAAAGAGGATATGTACGTTTATCTCGCGTTCGAAGATATGTTCCGAGAGCGCACACGTGCAGGATGTTACAAAATCGTACCTTCCATTCTTTGGTCCGTTTTGCAATCAATTTCTTCAAGTCTCTTCTTAACGTTTTCTAGTGATTAAATGCTATAATTTCTTATTGTTCCTCGATCTTTTCAATGTTTAACTCTTAATGTTTAACCCTCGATCTCTTCAATGTTTAATAAATAACCGCAAAAGTTCTCTGTAAAAGACTCTTCCTTTTATTTACAAAAATTCAATGTATGTGTGTGTGTGTGTGTGTGTCTAGGATTAAAAAGCACGCCATTATTTTCTATCTTGACCGATGCAGCTAATATCGCCCGTATTGAATGCTAAAGTTTTTGAATTATAAAACCTGAAGAACAGTAATAGTACCGTCGCTGTCCTGACATAAAACATAGAAGTATGTTTATTTAGAGAGTTTCTCGCGGACGTTTCGACAAGAGGGCGTACGATTATGAAATGTTTCGTAGATGGTCCTAAAATAGCCAGTCTTGTTACATCAGACTGCATGGGCGAAGGAGGTCGTGAACTGTGTTGCAGCGACGCAAATGTCACGGTTCATTGTACGGGTGTATAAGAATGAATGGACGAAGCGGATGAATGGAGGAGGGTCAGCTGAGCGAAAGCACGTCCCGTTATGGACTTGCGATTATTATGTAAAAATGTTGGGCTATAAACGAATATACAGCCGTTGATTATCGACATAAACGCGGGTTATTTTCTTTTGCTTTGACGCATCCACGTCTTGTATCGACATTTATTGATGAGTTCCACGAAAATGATTAATTACAATCTTTACAAACGAATTCACGCACTAAATGCGATACAACTAATAAATATCTAACGAATATCTAAAATATCTAACGAATATCTAAAATATCTAATGAATATTTATAAAAATTATAGATTTTTTGTAAAATAAGTATAAATTTAACGACCATTTATCGGTGTGTGTGTGTGTTTATTTTCTATTTGTCATTTTATTTAAACATACAGCGATTTAATATTAAAAGTATAAAAGAGGATGTCAAACAAAAAAGAAGAAGCGATTCTGTTTAAAAGGATGTAAATAAAAGAAAAAGTATTTTATATATCTAGATTTCGACCTCCCGAATACGATAAAATTATTAAAAAGTTCGTAGCATTTAGGAAACACTTAAAAAATTGAGCATGAACATGGTACTATATTTATCCAGGAATATTTCCATGTTCTTTCTAGTTCAATTTATGAGGTGTTCCCCAATACTACGAACTGTTTAATAATTTCTTCATATCTAAAAAGTAAAAAAAACATAATTCTTTTAAATATCTTTTTAGAAAAAAATCGATCCTTTTGTCACATTCTCTTTTTACATGCACGCACCGAGCATTTTAATAATATTGTAATAAAATTGTGTATTATATGAAGAGTTTGAAAAGATAATACTATTGAATCGTTTCTTTCAAATCGACTGCTATCAAGAATCCCCAATTTAGATCTGAGATTTTATTTCCATTATAAAGAATATATAAAAAAATATC